GCATGCGTAGGTTTTCCCTTCGGGGGGAACAGAGGGTAGTCGCAGCGCGCCCCCTCCCTATTATGTTAATGTATGGGGCGGACTCCCCCTCTCCCTAAGTCGCAGCGCCCCCTCCCTATAGAGAAGACAGGCTCAATAGAGTGCCTCGATGCTCGTTTTCAGGTGGCCAGAATTTATCTGGAATCTCACCACGGCGTGCCTCCCAATGATGTCGTTTTGGCACATAAAGTATTATATATCCTTGCATGCGCCTGAGCCGCGGGCGATATACAGTTGCCGTTAGAAAATGAGTTCAAAAAAGAAGCAGCTAGGGCGCCAACAAAATTTCGTATGGTTTCGCGAAAGTGGACGGGATTGTGAGGGGCAAATCTCGGCGTAACCAAAAATATGCTCGGTCGTATTGTATAATATAATGAAGACTAAACGAGCTGTCAAAACTACCAAAGCAACAATTGAATATCACGCTGTGTGATCAGGCATGTATATTATCCGAAATGAAACATGTGCAGGAAACACGGCATGGTCGATGTGGGCATCAAATATTTTTTGTGCGCATTATTATGCTTTCAAAAGAGCTGTTAAAAAAACCAAGGTGGCATTGAACTTGAGGTACAACGTTGTTAACATCTGATGAAAACCTCGACAAAAGTGAAACTCTTCAGAAACTGAACATTGCAGTTGCAATGGTGCCATGTCTCAACAGAGCAGACGTAAGTTTAGGCTTTTCACACTGACCTCTCAATAAATTTAAAGCCGCACGACAAACTTGGCACACAAGCAATCGAAATACGAACACTATATACAAATGCATGTGAATGCGTCGTGGTGATTTGTTAACAGCTCCAAGACAGCACGACTGCCGCAGCGAATGCGCATTTTGCCAGTAACATATACAATTCGCGCCGTCACCTCACCTTTAATGTCATAGAAATGCAACTGTTCACCATCGCCGCACACATAGCACTCACTCAAAGACATCGTGTTTGACTTGCTTGGTCCCGCAAAGGTTGTAAATGAATTGCTCTCTGTTCTGGTGAGATTCACACGATAAAAACATTTTTACAATGTTTTGAAACCTTTGGAGCAAGTCGCAGGTGACGCTGACCAGACAGCAGTGCTTGCAGAGCGGGTGCTCGCGCTCATGCATCACATGCGCTTATCATTTGCCAGTCATGCCTGACACTCCGAACACACGTGCGGTGCGAAAGTGCCAGCCTGTAGCACGTTGATCTATAAGAGTTAAAAAAATTAATTTAGTTGTACAATTTAGTTGTACAATTTAGTTGCCAAGTTTGTTGTGATGAGTAAAGGCGAGGCATCAGGTGCGTGCCGAACGTGAAAGAGCGGCAACGGTGCATGGGGATCGAGCAAAAGTCACCTAAGGACACGCACACAACTCACGCCAACGCAGAGGATTGGCCAGATAGGGGGCTTGTGGCATGCGACCTGAGTTGTGATGGTGAACGGCGAGGGTTGAATAAGTCGCTGTTCTGTGGGGTGCCGGACGGAGAAGACCGAGTAAAAAGTAAGCGTTGCACTTGCGACGAGAGCGGCTGGTGCTCGGTTTGAAAGGCGGCAGCATGCAAGGCCCGCAGAGTGGCCGTCGATATTGTAAGGCTCCAAGCGAGCCTGTCCGCACTTGTCGCCCCTCGGCACTGCAGTTCTGGTATCGGCAGCAGTCCTTTTCTTGGCAAGACAGCTGCGGACCACAGTTCAGGCAAGGAGGCGTTCATCACCTGTGGAGTCCTGAAGCAAGGAACCTATGCTTGGTTAGGCCTACCCTAGATTGAGAGAGGACAGTGAAGACTACTGAGGACAAATGTGATGAGGACTAGCGGCAAGATGGACAACAACAACCGATGAACTTGGACGCCTGCTGAGGACGTTGACGATGGTCTTTATGAGAGATTGACGCGATGGGAACATTGGGTCGGCGCAACGAACGTCGATCGAACTGTAAGAACATTTTAGTACCGCAAGGCCCTTATTGGCCAGACTGAGTTAAAGCGACACATCTAAGCCTACTCAGTCAAAAAAGTTCAAGTGGTCCAATCAGAAAAAATACCAATTGGCATCAATTGGTTTCAACTGGTTGAAATTTTACCACCAGCTGGAAATGTACCAATTATATCCAATTGATAAATCAGTTCACATCCAATTGATTATAACTATTTAGATAGAACTGGTGGCTAATTAATCAACCAGTTGGTGTAGGCTGGGGTCCAATTGGTCATCCAATTGAGTCTAACTGGTGCCCAAATGGTTAACCAGTTAAAGTGAACAGGTGTGCAACTGGTAATCCAGAACAGGTGTGCAACTGGTAATTCAGAACAGGTGTGCAACTGGTTATCGAGTTAATCATAAATGGCCACCCAGTTGAAACTAGGTGATGTGTCATTGGTTAAGCAATTCGAATAGATGTAGTCATCAAATTAAAGCTAGCTAGTGTGCAAATGGTTTACCAGTTGAAAGAGAACTGTTGTCCAACTGGATGGCCAGTCGAAGGTACGTAATGTTCAATTGGTTAATCAATTGAATAAATTTGGTCATTCAGTTAAAGGCAATAAGTGCTCAACTGGCCAGCCAGTTGAAATAGACTGGTTCCCAACTGGTTAACCGCTGAGCGCAAATGGTCATCCAATTAGCAAACTGGGGCTCAATACGAAGCGCCTTTATTAGACAACAATAGTTCGGCGAAAATGACTTGGAGAGCGAGCTTCGTTGTACAACTCCCAATTTCCGCTAGTAAAGGTATTCGTAGTCAAACTTCTGCCCGTTCTGCTGCAGCTTCTGGAAAGAATGTCGCTGATATATTCTTGTTGCTCAGAGTTTTTTCTTTTTTTCGCGTTGCGTCAGCAATCATGCCGGCCGGCTGCGTAAAAAAAAAAATATATATAAGACGGAGAGAAAAATTAGCTTCATGACTGTACTAAAGAATTTAACACACTAGTCTAAAATTCTGTAACTGCATGCTGTGGCACTTTCCAGCCTGAGTAGTTCAAGATAATCCACATGTGAGCATTCGTCTTTAGCGGTCATGCATGCCAACATCGACAGAGCAATTCGAAGCGCATTATTCAAGTGTTCCAGAAGAGTGTAGTGACCTCTGCACGAAGTATGAAAATGTTGGCAATGTAACAAGACTTACCGTGTATAATAGCTTTCACACGTCATGCTTGCTACACCCGTGCACCGTGTTCGCTGCAGTCACGAGCCAACACTATAGTTAGGGTAACGAACGAAAGGTGCTAATAATATACTGGTTAAGGTGGTTCAATAGTAAAATGCTTGCCTTCATTGTAAAGAAATATGGCTGAATCAATGGATCATGACAACATAATTACTGCAAAGATGCTGGATATAAAACACGCTTGTAACGCTTGTGACCTGGCCCCGCCGCGGTGGTCTAGTGGCTAATGTACTCGGCTGCTGACCCGCAGGTCGCGGGTTCAAATCCCGGCTGCGGCGGCCGCATTTCCGATGGAGGCGGAAATGTTGTAGGCCCGTGTGCTCAGATTTGGGTGCACGTTAAAGAACCCCAGGTGGTCGAAATTTCCGGAGCCCTCCACTACGGCGTCTCTCATAATCATGTGGTGGTTTTGGGACGTTAAACCCCACATATCAATCAAAGCTTGTGACCTGTGTTCGCTGTGACTGGCTGTGGCAAAGAAGTGCGGTCCAGTCATGATGACGATGCTGATGGCTCTTGCCGCAGTGCAGGCACTTTTATGAAAATATAAAATAGACAACAATATTTCGTCAAAAAACAATATAAAATTTTGTAATAATTAGTTTTTATAATTAGACCTTACTTCAACGCTTCGAATGCAACGTTTTTGGAAGGGTTGTTAGTACTAAGCCATGCTTGTTCAGCTACTTTCTCACTATCATCTCATATGAATAAACTGTGGTAGCTGCTTTCATCAGAAAGATGTGAAGTGGCAAGAAAAGTTTACAACAGATCTAGCACTATAGTAAGGTGTTTTATGATTTTTGAAAAAATATTACAAAATTCTCACCACCTTTCCCATTGCCAACTTCGCAGAACTTGCACATGGCACTCCATAGGGTTAACCAGTTGAAGAGAACTGGTGTTTACCTGGTCAGCAAGTATAAACTAACTGGTTTCAACCTGGTCAACCAGTTGAACGCTTACAACATGAACTCTTTACAACTAGAATATTTTCAATAAAAGCTCTACTACAATTGGAAAGTCTTTTGCAATTCGGATGTGCACATCTAATTGGACCAACAAGCATTCCAATGGAAAGGCCATTTGGAATTTACTGTTCCAATGGTTTACCAATTGGGATGTGTGCGACGAATTGGACCGACAAGATTCCACTCTGGAGACCAATTAGAAACTGGTTGACTTATTCGAATGACCACTCAGAACTGTGTGCTCCAATTGGTCCTCCACATTGAAGCACCACATCACAGTTGGTTTCAATTTAGGACCACATCCACATACCAGTTTCACATCCTAGTTGGTTTCTAATTTAGAGCCAATTGCAAGGAACTGGAATGACCAATTGGACCCATTCACTTTTTTTGACTGGGTAGCTAACCTGTTTAGATAGTATCAGTGCTCGGTATAGTATCAGTGCTCGGTACAAACTAAGATTTGTTAGTGTAAATAGGGTTTTGTTTGTATTGCTCAGTGTCATAAACACTCCTCTTCTTCTTTCATTTGTTTCTTATAAAGTTTGTTGGTCATGCTGCCATGGTCTCCTGTGCCTGTCTCTCTCTCTCCCGATCTGTTTTAATATTGGAAGCACTTCCCGAGATAATTGTGACATTTGTGTTAGAAGCAAAAGGAGAGGAATGGTCCACAGCTACATGGAAGAGGAGTGAAATGGGACTGAAAGACACAGAAAGTGCCAAAGTTCTGCTGTCTAATTGTTTCGGGTGTTAGTGCTTGGATGCTAACTAGTTGCTCATTATAGTTGTTTGGAACTTGTGTTTATTCAAGATTTATAATGATTTCTTGTATTATGCAGATGATTCTCCCCAAGGCTAAAGATGACATGGATCAGTCATCAGTGCTGTTGCTTGACACTAGCACAGACAAGGGTTCCTCCACATCGTCACAGGTTCGGGTTCCCAGCAAGCACATCATCCCTGCAGACAGCATTGTCATCAACAAGGAGCTAGGCATTGGCGAGTTTGGTGTTGTCCAGCAAGGGGTCTGGACTAACGAAGAAGGAGACAGGGTGAGGAAATATGTGTCAATCAAGCGACATTTGAGAACTTGAAGGTGCCAGGCAGGTAGTCTTCATTTCTTTTTTACTGACAGTATTAGTAACAGTAGACATAAACACTTGGACATGAACCCACTCCTGTTTGAGCTGATTGACAGAGCTCGCGAGATGGCAAAGACCACTGGGGCTTTAAACTAAAGACTCCAGCTTCGCTGGGAGGATTTCTTTACGAGAATAAATTTTCTATTCATTCCTTCAACCTGTTCTGCTGACTGTAGTTTTACTTCATTGCTGCTGTTGCATATCTTCTTTAATGTCCTCATGCTCCTTGAATAAACATATCCTAAGTGGCACTTTGTACTGGATCACTATTCTGTAGCTGCTGCACATAATTTTGTTATTGCTTGACTTTTCGGGATAATCCGTACAATTTGTATAATTCAAGCCGGTGTAGCATAGCTGCAGTCAGAATTGGGGAGTGGGGAAAGACACATTAAGGATCTTTCACCTGATGCCACTTGTTTTGCTTTTACTATGTTTTTTTTTTGTAGCAAAATTTTTTAGCAGTTCACAGCAACAACTTATTTTTGTGGCTTAGTTGTCCACCACTGTCTCTGCCACTGTCTGTAACCGCTATCTCACAACTTGAGAAAAAATATGCAGGATTAAATGAGACTTCAATCTGAGCCCCCTGGCAGTTGAGTATTCTACCTCGGAGCCGTGCCTCTCCTTGAAACTGTTTCACAAAAAAGGTGTCATGTTGGACAAGTAGTCGTGTTAACATATGTAATACAGCATGGTAAAAAAAGCAAAAGAATGACCTAGCATTACACAATGTGAATTGTGTAACGAGTGGGCAGTTTAAAGCTTGCAACCATTACAAGGGGCTCTGCCATTATTCTTACGCCACAGCGTCAACAAAATGCACACAACGCCTTACAGATGTATAGCGAGTAGCTTGCTTCTTTGCAGAATGATGACATAATGAGTGCTTCTCTAGAAAGACCGCTCTTATAGCTTTCACTGTGGCTGTGCATGTTCCACACAGGCCTGGCATTTTGTATTATTCTTTAGCTTCAGTATATTTTAAATTGATGTATTCATCCTTTCTTTAACTGCACAAGGCATTGCCTGGTGGTCAGGATGAAATAACATAATTAGTCTCCCGAGTAAAAATGCATTCTTAGGCGTACATAATCAAAGTGTACAAAACAGACAAGAATTGTTGAAGCAGTGGTGAGTTTTGCCACAGTATAACTTTAAATGATCTACTTCTTTGAAATGTAATGACAGCATCTCTGATTTTTTCCTACTCTCTTCTGAAGGGCCACTGTGCAGGAATCATTGCAAGCTTTTGTTACTGAGTACACAAACAGTATTTTTTCAAAAGAATGTGTATCGATTCATTATTGGCTGGGGTAGAAAAATTAAATTGTCCTTTTGAGATCCTGGCTGGAAGCAAGCTTCTATCAGCATCAAAACACTGTCCTTTTCTTCCAACTAGCGTCCACAAGCGTCATTGTATCCCTGCCTTCTTGTGCACTGGAGTTCTGTGTTGCCTTCACGTGGCTGGCACGTGAACACTGCCTCCTCTTTTTTCTATTGTGAAAACATTGTGCATTTCATATCGAATGATTAATTGGATTCGTATGCTATGGTCAGTGATATAGCAATGCACCTTGTATGAGGTATACGACCTTGACTCTTGCTCAAGCTGCGGCTTTTTGATAGAATGGGCGTGCAACCTATTGTTTTTTATTCTGGCTGTCTTTGTGTTGCACAGTGTATTCATATTATGTAGACACGATTGTTACTGAGACGTTCATGTGGCAATCGTGTCTACATAGTAAGCAGTCGCAGGGTGCATATAGGTCCTTCAAGTACTTGAAAACCCTTGAGTTTGGAAAACGCATTTTCGAGGCCCTTGAAAAAATGAAATTTTTCGCTGTCCTTGAATACCCTTGAATTTCCTGAGCAGTGCACTCTCATGTCAGCATTGCAGCCTTCTAAATGTGGCAGATTGGTGTGTCAAGCTGTCAAACTACCCATTTCCAAAGCAGCAATGTAGCGCGGGCGCACTTGGTCACATTTTTCAAAATTGCACGTGAAAAAAAGTTTGTTTTGTGGTAAGGGTGAAGCAGTGAATGCGATAGCAAGAAATTAGAATGTCACACGAAGAAGGGCAAGCTACTCGATTTATGACACGCACTGTCCGAGCACAAAGGAGTCACGAAAAAAATGCGCACAGGACGAGTGCTAACTCATCCTGTCCGCCAGCTCGACAGCTCAACACTTGAAGCATGCAGCTTAAACATCTGCGAAGATGCTGTAAAAGAACATACAGTGGACTCCTCTTAAACGGAACTCAAAGGGGCAAGAAAATTTGTTCCATTTATGAGAAGTTTCATTTAAGCGAAGCCCACAAAATAAATGAAATATGACTTTTTCAAAAGCACCAACTGTGGCTGACTGTACAAAAACATCTTGAAGTACACAATACTACTATAGTTGATTAGAAAAAAAAATGTTAATAATATTTTAATACCTGGAAAAAAGGTGATAACAGTTCCCTTGGCCTTGTTCAAGCTTTTTCTCACTTAGTAGGAGTGCTTTGGTGAAAGGCAGGGCAAGAACTCTGTGCCACCATTGTGTTCAAAGTAGCGCTGCAACAGGATGACAGCATCTCTTGCTGCTCTGTCAGCCACTGAAATGGGCTCGAGATCACGCACCATTTCATTACTACTTGAGCACGGGTCCTCATCTTGAACTTCAGCTAAGATTTCTCAAGGCTAGAGTATCAAGGCTGTCCTCAAGTTCACGACGAGACGTCGATTGCTGCTCAGCATGCACCATGGGCGTGTGCGAACGTGTGCAATCGCTGGATTGGCTTAGCTAGGCTAGCTTTGGCATTTATTTTATGGTTGCTAGACTACCATTGCCACTTCTGCCGTTCATGGATTTTGCTCGGTTTAGTTTTATTTAACAGATGTAAGCTAACAAAATGTTCAGATTACCCGAAACTTTTTATCATTAAATATATAGGAGACCAACTAAATCTGCCTAGATAGTTTTGTTTATGCGGCTTTACCGTTTAACAGAGTTTGGTTTAATGGGAGTCCACTGTACATGTATCCACGGGATGAGTGAAAAATAACTACTGTCACAGTTGTTACTTTTTGGTGTCAGCAGCGTGCTGCAAGTGTCAATTGCACAAGCCACCGCCCTTAATGGGGTTGTGCTATCCAATTTTGAGGCAATAGCAAGCATCGTGAGGGCTTCCTCTGTACGCAAAGACATTCCACACTAATGGTCAGACTCAAAAAAGTTTTAAAATAAACTTTAATTCACTCTCAAAGCGTACCTAAATGCGCATTCTCCCAATCGAGGCCCACCGCGAGCGCATTCAACACTGACGGAAGGTCAAAAAAAGTTGCAGTGATGTCACACCAGATTTGTAGTAAGGCGAGTGACTTCCGGACTTCCGCCACGTTTATACTGGCAAAGCATTGCGGCTGCTGCAGCTAGTGGCACATTTGTTTTGCAGGTGCTTGTGTGGCACATGTGTGGAAGAGCAGATGATACTCGGCGTGATGCGTGTCAAAGCTTTCTGTGATTACATGACTATATCGCCTACACTGCTACGTCCCTGCCCAACTCAGTGCCCACAATCCGAAACTGAAAATTGTCCACATCAATAAGGCGATATTAAACCATTCAGCGAGAATAAATGAATCTTGCTACATGCATTGTGCTTGGAGGTATAAGAAACGCTTGCAGCAAAGAACACTCAACCCTCAAATATTGTGCCATTACTCCTTTAAGGCCTGACCACACATACGCGTTGAAGCCCATCAGCCCAACTTTTTGACCTAGCATTGCACCCTCTTCCTATGAAGAGCGAGGGAGAGTGTGTGGCACCACGTCAAAAAGCCACGCGCTGAAATGCTGCACCACTTCCGTAGGGTCAGGCCTTTACAGGTTGGCGATTTCCCTGGTGGGCTTGGCTGACTCCTCCTAACCGCGTGCCGTTCGAGACCTAAGCATTGCTGAGGGCTTTACACAGTTGGGGAAGCTGCCGCACTTTTTGTGCAGCTTGGATGAGGCCAAGGAAAAATGATTTCGTGCTACTGCTGTGTCATTCACTTGGAAATGGCAGTTCATTGTGTACAGCAGTAATTATTGTGTTAGAAACCGCACAAAAACATAACGCACTGCGGTAATGTCTATAAGTTCTCTCAATCGCGCAGAACGGCAACACCGCACCTGCGCAAAGTAACCGCTCAAACGCTCAGTTCAAGTAGCATACCGTATTTACTCGATTCTACCGCGCCCTCGATTGTAACGCGCACCCGATTTCCACCGCGGAAAAAAAAAAAAACGCAAGACATCGATTGCAACGCGCACCCATTTTTCTCGCTGGCCCGCACGATCACGCCACTCGAAAAAAACTACTCCTTTCGGGAGCGTCTTCCATTTAAATATGAGGTATGGGCGAAGCTTGTGCCCATCTGACGTGTAACAGAGCATTGTCGTCACTGTAGTTTTACCGTGGACCAATGTCAGCACGCGAACTTGCTTCGCCCCCTTCTTCTCGACGGTTGTGGTGCCAGGCATGTCGAAGTAAAGAGGTGTCTGATTGGCATTCCCGATTTGCCCAAGCAGGTAGCCATTGTTGCGCCGCAAGTTTAGGACGAACCTCTGAAAACTGTGAAGCTTTTCATCGTACTTCTCCGCAAAACTTTTCGCATATGCATGTTCCCGTTCGGAGGGAAAAGCCTTTCCTCTTCATAAAGTTAGTTAGCCAGCACCTGCTCGCTTTAAACTGGCTCCACATTAGACCTCTTTCTAAGACTAATTGCGTAGCCCGCACTTGGAGCAGTTCTGTCGTCATGGGCCGCTCTGCCGCTTGCTGCTCAAGCACATACTCGCCGAGCAGCTCTTTAATTTGCGGAAACCGACCCTGCTGTCGTCCACTGAAGCCTTTGCGTGAAGCTTTGCTGACGACAATCTTCTGCTTTTGTTTCCGCCGGTCCCGCACGCACGTTTCGGGAACTCCGAACGACCGCGATGCGGCCCGATTTCCGTCCGTTTCCGCACACGCGATGGCTTTTCTTTTAAAAGCGGCATCGTGGGGCACTCGAGTTTTTGGAGTCGGCCTTTCCACGCCGTCGATGCTAATGCACTACTAGATGACGAACTCCTCAGCACACGTACGAAGTGCTGCACATGGGAAACACATAGGCAGAAATGGCTGACGCGCCATGCCGACGCACGTAGGGGGCGGCCATTCTAACGCGCATGCGATTTATGAACTCGCATAACCGGAAAAAAGGTGCGCGTTAGATTCGAGTAATTACGGTAAGTGCATACAAAGAAATAAGGTCCAGCACATGCTGAAGAGGGGCACTAACTGAACTGACCAAAGTCATCACTCAACATCGGTTATGCTTTCTTGTCACGACGTCGCCGCCGCTTCTAGGTGTAGTGACGAAGGTGAAATCTGTGCTATCATTGCTTTCCAGCCTCTCTGGCACTATGCCTAACACTTTTGTGATAGCTTCCTACAGTTCCCTTCGAAACTACAGCTAAAAAAAAAAAAAAAACAAGCGTGTGTTGCACGTTCTTTGTGTGTGCGGTGCGTGAACCTGCAAAATCGTGAACACACCGCTAGCTTTCCTTGCAGATGTCAATGAAGTGCATACCTTCTATACATTTATTTATCTTTGTTCAAGTGAAATGACATTATGCTGAATGTTCTGAGCCTGTTTGGTGAACTTGGCAGAGCTTATAGTGGAGTAATCTCAACCTCTGTTGTAAGACTTCATTGTGTGTTGAGAGTATTTTTTTACTCTGAAGTATTTCCAGAGTGATCAGGGCTGGTCATTATTGACATAGTTAACATACACATTTATTCATCTTTATATAAGTCAAATAACACAACAGACGATCCTCGCGTATGCTAGTCTATCACCATTTACGAGGTCTGCGCGCGCAATAAACTTGCTACGTGCGCTGTGTCTGAGATCCATACGGCAACTTGGATGTTTAAAAACCTACAGAACACCTCCTGCATGCCCAAGCCCGGGCAGCAAGACAACACGTATGAAGAGACCTTCAAAATGGCACTGCAATGGTATTGCTCCCTTGTGGATCAAGGGTTGGTGCAAACCCCCTATACTAGAAAAATCTCAACTGCTTTTGAAAAATTTGTGTTTTGATCTTGAGAAGTTCTTAAGACTAGATTTTTTATTATTATTGTAATTGCAACAAAATTTGTCATATTAAAAAAACTTTAGAGTGAAAAAATTTCAACTTCGCATGCCGCTTTGTGTCCTTAAAAAACTTGCGACAGGTCCTGTAAAGCTGAAAATTTTGTTGAAGCGCACTAAATAAAGAACCTTTTGTGCATCAAGAGACGTAATAAAATGTTGCTTGTTCATTTCTTTCCGAATCATCGAAAGAAGAACAGCCGGACGTGGGGAATGAGAAATGGTGCAAGTGGTTCGAAAATAAAATTTTTACAATACAAAATTACAATGCCAAGATTGCCTTGTGTCAGTTGGCTTCAGCAAGAAAAAAGAACCGCCCGACGTGGGGAATGAGAAATGGTGCAAGTGGTTCGAAGATACAATTTTTACAATACAAAATTGCAATGCCAAGATTGCCTTGTGTCAGTTGGCTTCAGCAAGCTGTAACATGTTTCACCTATCTGCAGATTCAGGTTGCCATCAAGTGCCTGAGCAAGGACCAGATGCAGAACAACCCAATGGAGTTCCTGAAAGAAGCTGTTATCATGCACACGATTGACCATGAGCACATTGTCCGGCTCTATGGAGTTGTTTTGGACACCGTGTCTCTCATGCTGGTGAGTGAAACAGGCATCCTCGTAATGCTCAGCACTTGATTGGTTTATAGTGTTTGTTCTAGCTGTCATTTTCATGTGGGATCAGTCTTCATGTACCGAACAAGTCATTTTAAATCATCTGTACATGAAGTGGCTATCAAAAAAAAAAAAAGTCAACAGCAACAGCCGACAATCTGTGGCTGCGCCAGTCAACTTGCCAATATTCAAGCGCCATTCAGTGCCCGGAAGCACTTCGCCACTGTCGAATCAAGACGAAATTGTTATTTGGAAAGGAATACTGCGTCAATTTTGACTGTGAGACTTGTAAACATGGAAGTCGAAAGGCGTGTTCTTCAGAATAATAGTCAATTTACAACCCAACCAACATGTTCTGGCGTGGCTTAGTGGGTAGAGTACTCGTATTGGAATTCGAAGGTGACCAGCCGAATCCTGTCGTGGGGCATTTTTTTTTTCATTTTTATAGTTTTTAATGTGAATGTGCACAATATCGCTTTACTTCTATATCTATTCATTTATGGCGATTGGGCACCCCCCGTTTTAACCCTTTGAAGCCATTTTGCACAGAGCAGCCAACTCCTCCCAGCGCTGGTGACAGCGCGATACTGGGCCCATAATCAGGCATGGCGCTGGACGCTGGTACCCAGTGGCGCTGGTTTTTGCAATAGGGGTTACACTGGCGCTCGCCTCTCCGTGTACACGCCTATGTGAGCGAGTGTGCGCACGCACGCTGCTAAAACTTCATACTGCAGGTAGCTTATTGGTGCATGCAATAACCTTCACTGTTTTATGTTGCGTCTTCTGTGTATGATTCTGCTTTCATTTATATTTTATGCTTATTTTGTGGGCTTGCTTCTTCTGTGTAAATGAACTGAGGGAACATTAAACTACAGCAAAGCTAAATTTTCTTTCTCTGTGTATATCATGAAACGCCTGTGCATGCTCCAAACACAGAGGTAGCTGCTCCAAAAGCACATTTTGCCTGCTCCTATGGGGGCTCCAAAATGCTGGACTGACTTGGGCTAGTTAATGGTGGTGACCAAGAAAGATGGTGACCAAGAAAGACAGCACTTGTCTTGTGTCTTTCTCAGTCTTTTTTGGTGCTTGTGTGTAGTATTTTGATATTGAGAGCTTCGGGGTATCTCACTATTAGTGCTCGTCCAGCTTCGAAAATGTCATGCTAATTTTAGTGAGAGGCCTCATTGGCCATCCCATTCATTTCAGGTGCGCAGGAAAGGCGTGGGCGGGCTGTGGGTTGGGTGTCCCAAAAACTTTTTTTTTTGCTGCAGGTTGCAATGTTTTTCTACAGGACATTTGAAAATCAAAATGTAAACAGTCATGGTGAAGACCAACAAGCACAGAAGTGCAAAGGTATAGGCAAGTGAGGACTGATGAAGTGAAAGAGAGATAAACAAGAGTGCTTGTATTCCTTCCTCTTCAACTTCCTCAGTCCTTTTGAACTTCTGTGCCTGCCTCACGCTGCTTGGCTTCGCGATGGATATAAACAAACTCGCCATCATTGCCATTCTTGCTCAAAGTAAAGGCTCTGCGTAGGGAATGTTAATTGCACCACTTGCTGCTGGTGTAGTTTGTGGAAAGATTGGTCATTGAAATGCTGCCGACTCCCCATATTTCTCCAGCAGACTCTTGAATTGTCAGCGTACCACCAGATAGTGTAGATATGGCCATGATAAACTACCCTGACCCTACTACAAAAAATAGAAAAAGGCACCTTCAGTAGTTATTGGCCATGTTCCATCACACGCCGAATTCTTAAGTAGTTTCTGCCACGGTACACAAGTGCAGTGTGGAAAAGCATACTAAGATTTTTGAAAGGACAATTAGAATGAGCTGTCTCAAGACACGGCAGATTTGGTTCCCTGATTACTCATACATGTGTAATTACATGGAGTAGCATGATCGCTGCCCGAGCATGTGCCCCCCGCTCGCTCGGTGTAGGATAATTCAGCAAGATTTAGAGAGGGGGGGGTCCTTGCTCTGTCTTGGATAAAAATGCTAGGTGGTTTAGAAGGAAAAGTTGCTAATAAGATAGAATGCACGCCCGTGCTCCTAATTACATTCAATATGCGCACATTGTTTTTTTATTTGCCCACATTGGGTGAATAAGAACAGTGGATAAAACAGCGAAAAGGGTGGGAGAATAGAAGAGAGAGCATATTTTTTAAAGAAGTTCTGAGAAGGTCACTGTTGAAACGACACACTAACTTGGTGACATCAGCCTAAGAAGAATAGACCTGCATGGACGATTATTGTGGCAAAGCATCCATGCTTGATAAGCTTTTCAAGGTTTTTACAGATGCAGGTCTACTGCTCTTAAGCTGACTTCGCTTAAAATGCAGCTAGTTAGTGTGTGTGTGCGTGTGTGTGTGCGTGTGTGTGTGCGTGTGTGTGTGCGTGTGTGTGTGCGTGTGTGTGTGCGTGTGTGTGTGTACGCGCGCGCGCGCGCACTCCAGCGGTGCCTCAATGTCGTTTTAGGAGACGTTTCACGACCCCTTTAAATCTCCCAAAGTAGGGATGGGCATGCTTTTTTGAGTAAGAAGATTTTATGGCTCTGGCAATTATTCAAAGCCGTCTTCAACATTTCTGAGGCTTCAAGTAACAATAAAAAAAGGACATAATCCGTCTTTTTTTTTTTTTTTTCACGAAGCCCTTTTGCTCCTGTTTTACGAATTTCCCAAATTTCAGGATAGCCAGGTTGCAGCGGCAATATTAGCATCTGCAGTGCATGCAGAGTGATTAGACAAGCATTGCAAATGCTAATGTGGACTGCATTGTTGTTTGCACTGTGAGGTGGTTCAATACACAGCTTTTATTTAAATAGCAGTATGCATGAATGATCTAGTGCCAAATGGTTTGTATGCATATGTGTGTGTGTGTGTGTGTGTGTGTGTGTGTGTGTGTGTGTGTGTGTGTGTGTGTGTGTGTGGTGTGTGTGTGTGTGTGTGTGTGTGTGTGTGTGTGTGTGTGTGTGTGTGTGTGTATATATATATATATATATATATATATATATATATATATATATATATATATATATAAACTGCTCTCACCGTAGGTTGTTTCACCCACTTTTCTTTCTTCATATTTACATTACATTCGTTCTTATAACTTCCCCTATACATTCCTTGGTATTATTGTCTGTTACACCTCATTAATATTGTGTCAAAACGCGGAAAAACGAGCCCTTAGGTATAGACTTCTCTCTTATATATAAGTAATCCTTTAACAAAAAAGGTCCGAAGTCTTGGTGCTTCGGCAACTACTGCAAATCCAATTTTTGGATTTTCAGTAATAACTTGGTTATATTATGTCTGGTTAGTATTGTCTGTATTATGACAGTGAATGATAACAGACATAATATTCACCGATTAATGCAGGTGACTGAGTTGGCACCTTTGCGGTCGCTGCTGGAGTGCCTGAAGGAGGCTGCTTTGAGACCCAGCTTCCCCGTGATGGCACTGTGCGACTTTGCCATGCAGATTTGTGATGGCATGCAGTACCTGGAGAGCAAGCGCCTCATTCATAGGGACCTGGCTGCAAGGAACATCTTGGTCTTCGCAAAAAATAAGGTCTTTTTTTGTCTTTCATTAATGCAGTAGCATTGCGGAGCCCTTGTCGCAGAAAATGCTGACCATATCAGCTCGTTGTAGTGCTTGTCGTAACTGTTGCGGGCAGACATGACGAAAAAAAGCGCAGGCCTTTCATTGAATAAATGGGGCGTCAGATGTGATTGAGGCATCAAGAAAGATCATTGTATGTTTTTTGCACGTTTTTTCATTGAATGTCGGAAAGGCACTGTTGCAAAAAAAACTACTAGTACAAGACGTGATAAATGCACTGGCTCCTATTTCACCTCTGAGCTTTTGCTTGCAAGCGTCAGGTATCGATGCAAATGGCTTCTTTTACTTCTTCCTCTTGATTGGATATATTTGCAAGCTGCATCGTTTTGCACATGCAATACATCATACAGCTGGCGATTGAAAAAAATAAGGGTTGAATATTGTTGGAGGGTCCCCTTTACCCATCCCTTACCGAATAGGCGAGCTGGGCTTGCCTATCCTGAAACAAGCATTTGCGGACGCCAGTTCTTTATTAATTTTGTTGTGTTTTCATTGGCTTCGATAAGTAATGCAGTTGAAAATTTAAAAATGCACTCAAAACATGTTATAGTTAAGAAACGACTTGATTCTTGGAACTGAAATTGGCAAATAGTATTTTCCTCGGTTCTCAAGCTGTGCACACGTGCCAGCAAAATCTGACACGCACACACACGCACGCGCACACACACACACGCACGCGCGCGCACACACACACACACACACACACACACACACACACACACACACACACACACACACACACACACACACACACACACACACACACACACACACACACAAAAGATGCACTTGTTTGTCAAAGTTTGGTAAAGTGAAGAAGTTGAGTTCCCCTGCGAATGTGGCAGTGACTAAACATGGAGCAGCTTCTCTAAATCACTGAATTCAGATGACGACCACATCTCGACGTTTGTACTGTGTAGTCCGTTAAAGTTACGCAGACATATCACCCGTCTATTCAAGCAACATTATTGCATTTGTTATTTCGATTGTCATTAGGCGCCCACATCTAAAATGTCTTTTTAGGAATATTTACTAGATAACAAACTGAACTGAGCAGAAGCGGATAATTGGAAAATTGTGATTATGGACTGAGCTGCTTTTTGTTCACTGGCAAAGTATTGCGCATTCCTTTAAACGCTCAAAAACTGTTTTACTGAGACGACTGTTTCACTGTCCTGCGCTGAGGCTTGTCTAAGAAGAAAAAATTCACTGCATATCCATGGAATGAATGATGATGAGTGGGGCGAAGCGTTCATCAGTGTTTCCATCTGTGTGTATGTGTGTGTTTGGAGTAATTAGGCCCGAAAATAACTCCAAGGTGTTCCAGTAAAGATGAAGGTGAGGCAACACAACAATTCCCGTGGATATGAGTATTCCGATGCACCTCATCACTTCACCGGGACTGAAGTTCCTCCATGAACCGTCTTTCTGTGCGTAGGTTTGTCTGTCTAAAATATGCGTCCGCACATATTTATTCGTGTTCTCGCAGATCGTGTTCATGAGCTGCGTGGTGAAAATCAGCTTGATGAAATCGACGGCCCGTACGAACTGCCGTGCGTTGCTCCGGAGCGCGCCACCGACTTCGACCCTCGGGTTTTGTATGAATAAAAACTGCACCCACTTCACTGATGCTGGCAAAAAGTCGTGTCCGTAGGACGTAGAGACCCTGAAAATATGTAATGTGGCTGTGAGTACACGCAACGACGCTCGTAACTAGTACTTGCCGACAACAAAGCGTGCGCCACACATACAGCCGACACTCACCTGCTGGATGTTGCAGCTTGAGTAGACTTGTTCTCGTTGTCGGTACTAAAATCTGAAGTGCTAACAACTTCTTCAGACTCGCTGGGGCTCATTTCATCCAAAAAATCGGGTGTCGACAGACTCCAATTGGAGAAATTCGTCGTCTTTTAGCAGCGCTCGCGCGTGACGCCATGATCGACGCACGCCAGCATCAAACCGAAATTTTTTGAGGCGGGAAGAAAACTTCCCCAAAGCCAAAAACCAACAAAACATTGCGGATCACGTTGTGTGTTTCCCACTTTCTTACCTAGATGGCGCTAGGTGCTTGCAAACCACGCGAGCGCGCGAGAATTTAAACTTGAAATGCGTCGTTCAAATTGATCGATTTAGATAGGCGCGGTAGCGAAAGAGTTAATGATCAACGCTTAAAACAACTTTATACAATATTCCGGTACACTCAATCAACATACCAGCGAAGACAAGGTAACGCCAAGGTGATGTCGCCAACGCTCGACTCACCACGACGGGCCCACGGGAGACAAACCGGGGCGCCGTCTTCATGGGCGCACTGTGGGAGATGATCATTCGCGCCAGTCACCGCACACCGAAAAAAAGAAGAGTCTGGAATCTTTTCCGTGTGGCCACCTAGCCTCGTCATAGGGTGTCACTCCTAGCTCTACTGCGCTAACTGGGATAACGGTGATGAACCCGCATGCGAGCACAATGCCACCTATCGCTCGATGGTTGTTAACTCTAAATGCGGCTTATTCACGAGACACTTGTGCACCACGAGGCACAAATGACTTTACAGGAAATGATTAGACCATTCCAGTGACTATGGGTGGCGCAACGGTACGTCGAAATGGCGGATGAGACGATGATGCCGTGAACGTGCACGTCAGCATCAAAGAGTGTGAAGACGCGTTCATTGGTTCATGACTACTGAGAGACCGAACTGTGTCGCAGTTATCACTGTGTGACAGCTTCGGAGCACGGCTGCATGGCGCCGCCTGTGTCATTGGAATGACCGAATAGCACCCCCACAATGTACAGCTCAACCATTAGAGCACATGTGGCCGCAATAGCTTCAGTTTATTTAATTGTGCAACAGATGAAAAAGTTTGTGATTTATTGGAATAGTGGACACTTTATTGTGCTGTAGAACCTTGTTGAGGTGCTTAGAAAAAAAGAAACACAGAAAATAAATGTACACTCTCGAAAAATGTATGATCAGAATCCCAAAATTCGACTCTGGTTATTTTTACGTTTTGCGATTGCGAGTGTAGGAGCCAGAAAATTGTATCATAAGCAGGAACGTATCACTGAGATTCTATGAATAATCTGCAGTTTATTGAGATGTGGATAAATTAGCTTTTTATATTTAGCTTTAAATATATGATGTTTAATAAACACGTCACCAGAATTCGAAAATTCATGATACATGCTGAGATTTGACTGGAGAAGGGTAGGATATTGGACAAGCACAATTTGAAATGAACAGCAGCCTATAATAACTAGGATGAAAAAAAGAACCAGAAAGAACAAGAGCACTGACAGACATGTTCAGTGCTCATGTTGTCACTCGATCTTTCTGCGTCATTATTATGGCCACCGTTCACTTCAATATGTGAAACTATATTTTTACAGTGAAAGCTGCTATGAGATCACAACACGAGTTGCGTGCGCCGTAGTTGTTTGTTGCTGGCGGTGTCCATAACCACTCTCGCTTAAAGTAAAAAGAAACTAAGTAAATAAAAAATGCCAAGGAGGATGATTTATAGTGTAGAAGGTACCCTGCAAAAGTGCTTGGAGCAGTTACCGAAATAGTGTTTAAAAAGGCTCGGAAAAGCGGCTCTTCCAGCTTTTGCTGTGACTGTGCTGCGCGTTCTATGCAGGCCTCGCGGTTTTTTCCGGCAGGTGAGCACTTTGTGCTACAGTTGAAGGAAAGAAGGTGGAATGTAAAAGCTCATTTTTTTGTTTTGTTAGACACAACGTTAATTAGAATTAACAAGACAAGACTTACCTTGGCTTAATTGTCTATTAATTCTCATTTGCTCTTCAAAGGCATTCAGCTCAATACAAATACACTTTTGTTCCGACAGGAGTGACTTCTTTGCTGCTGGCTTCATTTCTGTCAGTTTTTTCAAATTAGTTTGTTTCATGTCTTGTGTTAATTTGATGGCTTGCTGTTTGTGAAAGGAGCCTTCTGAGCACTCATCATTTTAACATGCCTAGCCATTAGTTAAATTGGTGCTACAGCTGTAACAAAAGAAATAAGTGCATTCTATCCTGTTTTTCTTGTCTTTGCAAAATGCTACGAAGTTGAGAATAGCTGCTGCAAATGTCCATTGTTTACACTTCAGATTGGGCTACAAATTGCTCTTGATCACCTTTGTTCACTGCACTCGTTGTTGTTACTAACTGTATTTTTTTGTTTTCAGGTAAAGATCAGCGACTTTGGTCTCTCTCGAGCACTTGGTGTAGGCAAAGATTACTACCAGACGAACTTCAATGTTAATCTCAAGCTCCCAATAGCATGGTAAGGCCAGTAAATTCAGTACACAGAACACCATAAATTTCATTTTCAAAAAGTGTTAACAGCGCATCGAACGATTAGGAAAAGGACGAGACAGCAGAGGCAAACAGCATCTCGTCCTTTCCTGATCTTTCAATGCGCTGTTAACACTTTTTGAAAATGAATTCCCACCAACTTGCCCAAGCCTTTCAAAACATAAATTTCACCTGGTGTTTTCGTTTCCGCAATTTCTCTACAGGTGTGCTCCTGAGTGTATTAACTTCCTGCGATTCACATCAGCATCAGATGTGTGGGCTTTTGGCGTAACGCTGTGGGAAATGTTCAGCTATGGATTTCAGCCTTGGGCTGCACTGACTGGTCAACAGGTGAGCACTTCAAGTACTGCGAGGCATTGACATTTTTTTTCAAAAAAGTTCAGTGCAAGTTGGAGGTGGTGCTGCTTTTAAATGGGGAGCATTTCAAGTTAGTCTATTGCTTGCTATGCATTTACAAAAAAAAAAAGGATTACATTATACTAACAGAATCGGGAGGTCCTAAAGTAGGAGACTGCCAGAGGGGTCAGCAGACCAAAGGCACTTCGAGAGTGTGCATCTGTATGTCTATCTGCCTGTCTGTTTGCCTGCCTTCCTGTCGGTCTTATTGTTAACGACTTTTTGTGCTCATGGTTGTATCATTATCTTTGTACTTACTGAAATCTGTAAGGACTAGCACAGGTGTTGGAATAACGTAAATGACAGGTCAAAATATAAAAATCATGTGTGCATGTCATGTACTTTGCGATTTATATGGAATGGTTTTGGAGCTTTTGGCCCTGTTTTGTTAACTTCATCTACATCAAAACAGACATTACATGACTGTGACAAGCATAAGTGAAAGGTCATGGGTGGCGGATGCAAGAATATACAATTTATTACGATGGTATCTCTCTTTAAGTCCTCATGTGTGGTGTCCCTGCTTAATTCTTCCAACCATAATGTGCTTATATTGCTTCGCCCTATACCTTAACATTATCTATCTTTCTTACTTGTCACATATGTTTTGACAGATCTTGGAAGCGATAGATGAACCAAACCTCCAGAGACTGGAGCAGCCTGACTGTTGCCCGAAGGACTATTACGCACTCATGCTCAAATGCTGGCAGCATGACCCAAACAAGCGACCAAAGTTTTCTGAAATACTTCAAACGTTGCCTGATGTAAGTGGCACTGCCAAAAGTAATTGACTTTCTTTTCTGCCGAGCTGCCGGCTTGGTTCTCTGCACAAGTCTTGAATTTAGCAAAGAACTGTATCTATTTAGCTCTGCCATTATTTTGTTTATTTGGATTTTTTACTGTTAAATGCCGTTATTTTTTTCTGACACGCAGTTATTTGATGGTCCTGTGAACATTTCTTGAAATTGTTCGGCTGAATCTCATCCTCAGTTGTAGTAGAAAATGCAACTGTTCAAAATGGGAAATTCATTTCCCTGTGTAATGAACTCACATCTGTTGTTTTTAAAGCATTGTTTAGTGAAGAATTTCTGAACACATGCCAAAACAATGTGATCATTGAAAGAAAGTATGTATTGACTAGGTTTGTTTGAATACTGAATTTTAGATTTGAAGCGAATTTGTAGCAATTGCAAATTAGTTCTGCAGAACCCCACAATGTGACAGAAGGGTCAAGAAAGGGGAAGATGACAAGGACTCCCAGATTTGGACCATTTCTTCGGTTTGTCAGTTGTCATGAAAATCTCCAGGAAAACGAAATTTTTGTCCGTGATCCAACCGCCTTGACAAAAAAGCAGCTCAATTCGCTCCAGGCTTTTCGAACCTACCTCATTTTATTATGAGTTTAAAAGGCGTTCATCTAGTCTATTGGACCTGAATTCGAATGTTCCAAACACATTTCCGAATCGCGGCGGGTGATATGAGCTTTAGTACGGAAATCGTCGAACGAAGGCCGAGAGCAGCGTACTAGAAGCTTCGCAAGTACGCGTGCAACCGGCGCACGCACTGTTTTCTACAGTGTGCGTGATTGTCGTTGCCCCAACCGCTGTTGACGAAACCGTGGTTGCTTTTGACGAGATCATGTATGGCTACGACGTAACTGTCCCGAAAGTGTGCGTGCGTCCAACACTCACCAGTCAAAGCAATGCTGCTTTCCGCAAATCCTGCGGACAAAACTGCGGCAGATGTGATCGTAGACGACATAAAACGACTTTGTTTTGAAGGCGTGTGCGCAGTCAAGCCCACGGGGATTGAAAAAGGAACTACCATTTGCCGCAATCGCCGTGCACAACATCGCGGTCGCGGCGGCGCGATGGCGATCTACGAGCTCCAAGGGCAAGCAGCGGTAGACTAAAGGCAGTAAATACATAAAAAAAAGTCAGTTTTGCCGCAAGGGCGAAGCAATGAATGTGACAGTAACAACTTGGAATGTCACACTGAGAACGGCAAGCAGATCGAAACGCGCAGCCCGCTGATCACGCACAAATGACGCACAAAAACAATACACACAAGACGAAAGCGAACTAACAATGTTTACCGCTCGACACGTAACGTGCTGTTTTAACAAAAAAAAAAAAAAGCGATGCTCGATACATAATCACAGGTACGAATGAGTACAAACTAACAAGTGTACCAGTTATACCTTGCTGTGTATGAAAAGCGCGCTCTTTTCGCAAACGGGGCCTGTGCATAGAGCGAAGATACCTTTGTGGGCCCCAGCAACTAATGCAAGCGTTTCAGTGAAAGCCGAAGGCACATGATTCTCCCCACTGAAAAATAAGCGCGTGCACAAGCATCAACCCCCCCCCCCCCCCTCCCCTCATTCACAGGGCAAAGTACACGTCAGAAGCAAGCGCGCGTTGGCGCATTGCGACGAGCTGGGCGCCGAGTGCGGGCGGCTTTTTCTTTTTTCTTTCTAGAGTGATAATACATATAGATAAGTATACACATACGGTGAATGACGGTGGTGGCGGCGACGGCAAAAAAACAGTCTAGACTGTCAATAACAAAGGGGCCAGACACGTTTTGGCATTCCTGTCAAAAGAATCTAGTAGGGAGCAAAGCTTTGACCCGCGCTTTTGCGGCAGCCAGCTGTGCCGTCCCATCCGTTCACGTGTGTTCCAGTAAAACAATAAATTCTGCTAGCTGTGTTGATTCTTTGAGACTCTCACCTTAGTGGGAACCCTATCTTCGTGTGTTCGGTCACTCCAAGCCGACTGCATTGCTGAAGTTTGTGCTTGTGATTGAGACCCCCCCACCCTCACCCCCTCTTGTTGTGATGTTTTTTTGTTTGTTTGTCCTTGGGTTTTCTTTGGTGCCGAAAAAAAAAAAAAATAGAAGCAAATAATTCAGCCCCCCCCCCCCTTCCGGATTCAGAATCCTTAAACTTAGGAGGTATGCTAGAGAGTTCAAGCAACGATTCAGCCAAAATGTATATCGTAACACTAGCGCCACACTCGCGTGCCGTTCGCTTCAGCTCATGCTTACATATGCCGCATGCAGCAACCGATGGAAAAACAATTGTCCCAACGCGCAGCATTGCTACTACCCCTTATTTATTATGTTCAGCACTGAAAGTCGTGCATGCAGGTATGCTAGCCAACAAAAATCTGCACGCTTTGCGGATTCCACGGTGCTAATAACACTTGCTCGCGAATGCAGCGTCAATGAACCCCCGTGGCGCAAGCTCGCTTTTCAACCTGAGACGCTTGAAATAAAGCTACTTGTCATTGCGGAAAGCCATCTGCAACGTCTGCCACAACGGCGAGGTCTTTGGTTTCTTGGTTCACAGCGTACTCGACGTTTTCTTTGTCGCTTGAGCTGGTGGCGATGGAGCCGAAGTCAAAAATGCACAACGTACACGAGATCTTCGTTGCATATCATGATGGTACCGTTAACACACCCCAACACTTGCAACCCACTGACACGTGCGAACCACGCGGTAGGCAGCAACACTCTCAACACTGACTGCGGGCGGAAGGTGCTGTTTGGTAGCACACGACACTGCTTTTTCAGCTTGTGACGTCACGCATGCCATGACAAAATGGCGGTCGCCAGCAGTTGGTGGAGTCCTTTTTTTTTTTATCTGATTCCAAAGTAGGTACACTGAAAACCGTGCAGAAGTGTTTCTAAAAATTCGTTTCACCCTCATAGGTAGCGAAAGTTTTTCTGAAAATGGCGAGAAAATGTCGATTTTTCAAAACGTTATAGCTTTCCGAGGGCGCGGCCGGGAGCAGTCTTTTTAGGCTCATTGGAAAGAGTGTTTCTCCGTCTTCAAATTTCCCGTCCCAGCTGGCTCCTCCCATTAAAAGCAAGCGCACAAAAAGCAAATATTTGAGGGTCATTTTGAGGCCCCTGATTGGCTGTCTCCGCCATGTTGCTCCAGCTCGCTCGCCATTGGCTCGATGCTCACTCCGGAAGATCGTTGTCTGCTGCTTGTGCGTCGCGAGGACATAGCTGTCGAGAATTGCTACTTCGTTATGTGTTCACGGCTCGATCACTTTGGATATAATTACACTTTAGTTAGGAGCTGTATGCGGATGCACGATCAGATTACTAGGAGCGGGCACACAGTCTACGAGCGCAGTGCGTAATTGAAGTCGTCTTTAGGCCAAACTCCGCTAACGGCGAGACTGCGGGCAAGAACAACACGCTAGCGCACTCTTGGCGACATGCCTCTTTGCAATAAAACGAAGCTGTAAGTGTATTCACGATCGGATTACTACGAGCGGGCGTACCATCTACGAGTGCAGCGTGTCATCGGAGTTGTCTTTAGGCCTAACTCCGCTGACGGCGAGACGAACTTTGCGGGCAAAAATGCCATGCTAGAGCACTCGTGCAACGTGCTTCTTCGCAAGAAACGGGACTGTAAGTGGATTCACGATCAGATTACTACAAGCAGGCTTGCGGTGTACAATTGCGACGCGTCATCGGAGTTGTCTTTAGGCCTAACTTCGTTGAAGGCGAGACGAACTTTGTGGGCAATAACGCCGCGCTAGAGCACTCATGGCAATGTGCTTCTTCGCAAGCAACGAAGCATTATCACTCGCTAGCTCCTCTGAACCGCGGACGGGCATTTTATGCATCGGCAGCAGACAACACGGTCAAGCTTGTCACCCCCCCCCCCCTCCCGCGCCCCTCCACTGCCAAGGATTGCTCGGAACAGCGGCTAGCAGTATCGCGCGTCGGCATTCGAAAATGCGATAAAAAGCGCAGTGCGCGCCAGTTTTTTGTCATCGTAGGTACACATTTCGCGAATCGTCGCTGAACGCCGCCAGCAAGTGCATCACGCGTTGGCTGCGCTGTGCACGCGGCCGCGCACTTCACACTTCACGATCATATGGAGGGCTGTCAATAAGCTTTTGTGATGCAATTTAGACGTGCTTGGAGCTTTTCTTGGTATCGCCGCGAGCATCTATGAATGTTCCGAGACAATGAAAGCCCCATAGAATAGCGCTTCCGCGACCGGCCGTATGATAATGCGTTCCACGGCTAGAGTAGCAAAAGAGTATGTATGAAGCAGGGGCACGAGTTTCTGTGCCTGACTCGCGTCATTAAATAAACTGCTAGAACATTTTTGTGCCACCAGTTTTCTGCTAATAACTGTTAGTAATTTGGAAGGAAGGCTTGGGCTGTCATGGTGTGAGCCATTTTTCTTATGCAATAAACTTCTCTCTATAAAAGAATGTTCGGGGATTATTTGTGATCAAGAAGGACCTAATTACGCTAATGACAGCTTGAACACACAAAAAAGTCTAATCATTTCAGTATATGGCGTGATTCAATTACAATCTATTCTGTCATGCTTACTATCACACCACTCCTTCATAGAGAAATCTTGGTTTAAAATCTATACTTGTTCTTTGTAAAAAAAAGTTATGAAAGAAAAAATGGCAATAAAGGCAAACTGGGCAGAGGCCACATGCCTGAGAAGTTAAATATCACAAGACAAACCTAAGACCACAATTTTTAAGTATCTTAGAGACGTAAAAAAGGTGAGACTTATGCTCAGCTCGTGGAGCAGATATCTTGGCAACCACTTCACATATTTTCATTCCGTTTAATTTGTAACGCTCCTTGAATGGTGCTTCAGGGGACTGCGATCTTAGTTTTTCATTTCACTCCCTAAAGAATTTTTCGTAGGATTTCTTGTTTGCAGTGCAAGTGTGCTCATTGCAGTGTTGCTGGAGAAAATGTTAACTAGAAAGTTTAGTGTTGCAAAAAAATTATTTTGCAAATGCAGCCCTCTTTAGCATACATTCGGTTGCGCGTTCAGTAATTACTATTTTTGTCATTTAAAAAATCCGCCAGCCCCTCCACGAGGTTTAATGAAGAAGTAAGGCACGCATTCACAAACCAACCTCATACTTTCCTTGAGTTTTTCTTATCGGTTTTGAACCTTTACTTTCCTTGAGTTTTTCTTATCGGTTTTAAATATTTAATGCGCATGATAAACAAATCGGACCAGTATACATGAACCAGTCTTGTCCCTATCTTTCACACTGTTACCATTTTTGGGCCTTTTTAACGCATGTAGAGGGCACAGGAAGTTGAGGAAAATGTGGGATAAGTCAGAGGTTGGTTTGTTAATGTAGGCTAATTTGTATCTCATCAAGTTTGTGTTATCACTTCGAAGTTTTTATGGAAGCACTGCGAGGCCATTTTCAGTGTCTTCGCCAATTTTCATCAACATCCAACAAGAAACAAAAAAGCTCATTTCGAAAGGAACTTCCACTCTTAATGATCTCTTACAGTCCAGTTTTCACACGTGTACAAGCGTATTTGACCCTCTACCTTCGTCTTTCACCGAAATCCATCACTTGTTGGGTGACCATGTCATGACCCCTTTAATGTTGGGCTTCGCGGCAGTGCAGATTTCTTCTGCATATGTTTTTATGGTTTAACATCACTTCACTGCAGTGAAACCACTTTTACAGGGAGTTACATGCAGAGTAATGTTCATTTGGATAGGTACTTTCAGGGCTTAGCACCCTTCCGCTAAAATTAAACCACTTTTGCCGAGGTTACATGCTGTCTGATTTACATGTATTCGTTCATCTTAGATGCACTTAGAAACTTTCAAAAATTTTAATTCAGATTGAAGCGATTCAAATACTGTAATATTCGTTCGAATACTCAAATCCGAATATTTGAACAAGCCTAGTGCAACATGTGCATTCTTAATGTGGGACAGAGGAGGTTTAAGAGTAGAATTAACGTGTTTACATAGCTTTCTTTCTTATTAATAATTGTGTTATCATTTTAGCACCTTCGGCACCCTTTCTGAAGTCTGCATGAGTTAGCTTATTCTCTCTTGAGTGTATGTCCTTTTGAATGTCCAGTCAGTTTTGTTTTTTACTAGCAATCCTTTGTTGTATTAGTTACAATTAGTCTGAAAGAAAGGGAAATTCAGGGCTTGAAATATTATGTTGACATTCACCCTATGGTTTCAATTCATTTCTTCATTCTTGCCTGTGCTGGATTCACCTCTATTTTTCTTGTTTGTCGGCAGTTTAATTGTATTGTAATTGTGCTGTGCAGAGTTCTGCATGTTTTATAAACTTTGCACAATCTGTCATGTTCATTAAGGTTGCTTTGTGAACAAAGTGGTTTATTATAATAAAAAGAGGAAACCACAGATCAGCAAAATGAAGACAATAAAGAAGACAAGCTAACTTCTTTCATGTTCATTCTCACACAAGTGTAGATGTTATAGCTTTCCAAGAAACCACTCTAAGAAATGATGAGCTTAGACTTCCGGGTTACGTAGGCGTTCACAGCAATGCCCGATGCACGATAATGGCGTGTGGATCTTTCCAGTGTACAGACACCATGCATTCACGAAATGCTTCGAAAGCGTCATTGTACATACGACCTTATGTTCATTTTGCAGTGATTGATGCAAGTAAACTCTGCGGACCTGACCACCCGTTTATAGTCGGGTTTTAAAAAAAAATTCTTTTTGCTTATACTTGTCTAAGTCTTTATTATTTTTTCTTTACTTCCCTCTCTTCTTTCCTCTTTTTCCCCTCTTATCTTTGTTTCCTTTGTTTTTTTCCCTCTTCCAGAAAGAGTGAGCAGGCATTGCGCCCCTCCAGGTGGCAGTGCTAGCTTACTATCTCTCTCTTTCCTCTGTGTCCCGGAGTTTTCATGTTTGCAAATAAATAAATAAATAAATAATTGTGCTAGTTTGCACAATACACTTAGTTAAGCATTTCAAACGAAAAAACTCTCAAGCTTGCAGGCTTCTTCAGAGTACTAATTTAGTGACCATACAACTTTCATTCATGAGATGTTATGTGTTGGGGCAGTCTTGTTGTCAAGAAGTGCCACTATACAGCTGTCATGCCTATGCTTAGTAATCATTCGGGCAGCAACACTCCTGTTGGCTGACATGCAGTTCAGTAAAGTTTCACAGATGAGACACTCCTCTGGTAGGGAAGCTTTAGAAACATGGTTCTTGTGATTGGCAAAACGAGATGCCCTCAGGCTGCTTGCTTTTTTCCTTCAGTGCAAGCCCGAGCAAGTGCAGGCTATTGCGGACTGCCTAGACACCTCTGGCTCACTGAAGCTCAAAAAAGATGCCTTGCACTACCGAACAGGTGATGTCATTACAGTGCTGGACAAAAGGTGAGGCAAACTTCCTCGTTAATTCATTTGCAATCTGCATGCTCATCTAGGTTGGCTTTTTTACTTGTCTTTTACACAGTGCAGTCTCCTTTTATTTTTTGTTATTGTGCAACTCTCATTAGATGGCAGTGCTAACAGCGGTGCTTGAGGAATTTACAAATGACTCACTCTCATGGAACACACGGAGACAAGTTATGCCATCGAGCAAATGAATAAGTGAATATTTATTAACCAGGCTTCCAATGGCAAGCTTGCCAGCTGTATGTAAGACATAATTAGTAATGAAACATGTAATCTAAACATAGTGCTAACACTACAAAAAAATGCAATACATGCAAAACTAGGTCTGTGTGAATATTCAAAATTTTGAATATTTTTCAAATAGTGTTTGCTATTCGATTAGATTTGCACTGGAAGTTTTACTATTTGAACTGTTCAAACTTTCCAACGACAAATTCAGTTGGCACCTGACAAACTGACCCCTTCAAATTTTTAATGCACCCCATCTCATTATATTCTCGTATTGCAGCAAAGCTGCTTTTTAAACTGCACCACGGTTGGGAATGTATTGACTGAAAAAAATCGCTGGTTTCAACATGGAAATGCTAGATGTGGCAGAGAAGGTGGGGTGCAAATAGTGCTTTTTTGGAGCTAAAACTCGTGCAGGAAGTCTGAAAAATCGGACGAGAAAGATTTTCAGCATCCAGAGTTCCAAATGTTCTTGTATGTAGACGTCTACAAAGCAGATTTGAAACCCCTGCCTCTAGAAAAGCACACCCTTGTCTGCCTCATCCGTTGGGCTTGATATGTGGGGTTTAACGTCCCAAAACCACCATATGATTATGAGAGACGCCGTAGTGGAGGGCTCCGGAAATAACATGCGGGGAGATGTTTTCTAGTGCGCCTTCCAGGTGATAGAGATGGGCCGACTCATTTCATCTCTGATTCAGCAACGCTTGGGCGCTCTTACCTGCTCGCACGCTTTTACTCGCTCGTGAAAGTTACGATGTGTGGGGCATGTTATCAATGTAGACTTGTTCCGGATCATGGCAGCAACGGCAAACACCCCCCCGAGAGTGTCCATATATATTGTCACGATGAGTCACAAGTACTGGGGGGATTTATTGAACAACCGGGTGGCTAGCTCTAGGACGATGCGTCAGTCGGGGCTGGCTCTCGAGCAGAGAAGAACGCGATCTTCTTCTTTCCTCCAGATTTAGAGCCGCTCTTGCTGCCAACCCACTACGTGCTGGCGGCATTATCCCCCCTTCCGAAAAGAAAAAAAAACAACAAGTACCAAAAAGAGGAAAGGAAAGTACATAGCAGCACCGCGATGCTACTACATAGGCACGTGAAAAAAAAATGGAAATTCGGATGAAGTGAAAGTAAAAATTGAAGAGCGTGCCTACATAGGAAACGTCAATGAACGAGAAAGTAAGTTCACAAAATAAACAAAAAACACAAAGAACGCTGTACGGTAAAGGAAAAGTTACGAACAACGCGCAATAAATGGCTTCATGCGCAACACATGAACGACGTCCGGCATCAGCCGTGTCCTGCTCCGTGCATGGGGTGTTGAGTCCGGAACCACTTCGTAGTTCACGTCACTGACGCGGCGTAACACTTTATATGGGCCAAAGTACCGGCTCAGCAACTTTTCACTAAGGCCACGGCGGCGGACGGGCGTCCACACCCAAACTTGATCTCCGGGGCTGTAAAACACTTCTCTGTGGCGGGTATTATAGCGTCGTGCGTCTGCCTGCTGTTGCTGGCCGATGTGCAGTCGCGCGAGCTGCCGGGCTTCCTCGGCACGCTCTGCGAATTCTTCGGCGTCTGTTGCCAACTCGTCTTCGTCCTGACACGGTAGCATTGAGTCTAGCATGGTCTGCACTTCGCGGCCGTAGAGAAGTCGAAATGGCCTGAATCGCGTGGTCTCTTGCACGGCGGTATAATACGCGAAGGTCACGTAAGGCAAGATCCGGTCCGATGTTTTGTGCTGTACATCGATGTACATTGAGATCATGTCTGCGAGGGTCTTATTCAGTCGTTCAGTAAGTCCGTTGGTTTGTGGGTGGTACGCAGTTGTCCTTCGGTGTCTGGTGTTGCTCAGTTTGAAAACTTCGTCCGTAAGCTGCGCCGTGAATGCCGTCCCTCTGTCCGTTATTACACTGGAAGGAGCACCCTGTCGTAACACGATGTGGCGCATGAAAAATTGTGCTACCTCAGAAGCCGTGGCTCGTGGGATCGCCTGGGTTTCAGCGTAGCGTGTCAAATAGTCGGTCGCGACGATCACCCATTTGTTGCTGTCCGCAGACATAGGAAAAGGCCCGAGAATGTCCATGCCGACTTGGTCGAACGGCGTGCAGGGTGCTTCAATGGGCTGAAGCAAACCAGCTGGCTTAACAGATGGTTGCTTTCGGCGCTGACATTCCCGACAGCTCTTGACGTACTTCTTGACGCTTGCCGAAAGTCCTGGCCAATAGTACCTCTCACTCACTCTGGCAAGTGTTCGTGAGTAGCCCAGATGACCGGATGTGGGTTCGTCATGGCAAGCGAAGAGGACGTCGTCTCGCATGTCTCGAGGAACCACCAGGAGGTAGGCACGGTTGTTCGAACGAGCGTTCTTCTTGTACAGCACACCATCTCGAAGGCAGAACGACGGCAACGAGCGGAATAAATGACGTGGTATGACTGTGTCCTGGCCCTCTAAATGATCGATGATCGGACGAATCTCTGCGTCATCCCGCTGCCGTTTACTCAAGTCTGATGAGCTAATGGCGCCCAGGAAGCCTTCGTCTTCCTCTGCTTCCTGACTGCCGACATAAAGGGGCGCGCGCGACAGTGCGTCAGCGTCTTCATGCTTACGGCCGGACTTATGGACGATGGTGACGTCAAATTCCTGCAGCCGCAAGCTCCACCGTGCTAGCCGTCCTGAAGGGTCGCGCAGGCTTGCCAACCAGCAGAGGGCGTGGTGGTCCGTCACTATCTTGAAGGGACGACCATAAAGGTACGGGCGGAACTTGGTGATTGCCCACACGACTGCGAGGCACTCTTTCTCCGTAGTGGAATAATTCGCCTCAGCACGCGATAGAGAGCGGCTGGCGTAGGCTATCACTCTTTCGATGTCTTCTTGACGCTGAACGAGCACTGCACCGAGCCCAATGTTACTAGCGTCGGTATGGACCTCCGTGTCAGCATCATCGTCAGAATGAGCGAGAACGGGCGCTGATTGCATGCGCTGTCGCAGCTCATCAAAAGCTGCTTGTTGCTCGTTTTCCCAGACAAACGGTGTGTCGTCTCTTGTGAGACGAGTCAGAGGTTCTGCTATCTGTGAAAAGCCATGAATGAATCGGCGATAGTAGGCGCACAAACCAAGGAAGCGCCGGACGGCTTTCTTATCGACAGGAGCTGGTAATTCGGCAACAGCGGCAAGCTTGTCCGGATCGGGACGGATTCCTTCGGCGCTAACTACATGTCCAAGAAACTTTAAATCTTTATAGCCGAAGTGGCACTTCTGTGGCTTTAGTGTGAGGTCCGCCGATCGGATAGCCTCCAGCACGCTGCGCAGGCGCTGAAGGTGCTGCTCGAACGTGGCAGAGAAGACCACCACATCGTCAAGGTAGACAAGACAAGTCTGCCACTTCAGCCCTGTGAGGACAGTGTCCATCATTCGCTGGAAAGTCGCCGGCGCTGAACACAAGCCGAAAGGGAGTACTCGAAATTGGTATAGGCCGTCTGGAGTCACGAAGGCTGTCTTTTCGCGGTCTCGCTGATCTACCTCGATTTGCCAGTACCCCGCTTTTGAGATCGAGAGAAGTGAAATAATGGGCATGACGAAGTCTATCTAGCGAATCGTCGATACGCGGTAGCGGGTACACATCCTTTTTGGTCACGTTGTTAAGCTTTCGGTAATCGACGCAGAAGCGTAGCGACCCGTCCTTCTTTTTGACAAGCACGACTGGAGATGACCACGGGCTGTTGGATGGTTCGATAACGCCATCGTCAAGCATCTCGCGAACTTGCGTACGTATCGCTTCACGTTCTTTAGCCGACACGCGGTAGGGGTGCTGGTGTATTGGGCGTGCGTCCTCGTACGTGATGATCCTGTGTTGAGTGATGGACGTCTGGCGGATCTTCGAGCAACTTGCGAAGCAAGACCTGTACTCGAACAAGAGCGCTCGCAGCGCAGTCTGGTTATCGGTGGACAGATCAGGATTGATGTCAATGTTGCTCATTGATGTGTCTGCGTTATCCACTACTTCTGACGTGAGACAGTTGGTTACGTTTGCTACTTCGTGGGCAAACGCTATCGAAGTGCCACGGAAAAGGTGTCGATGCTCATTGCTAAAGTTGGTAACGAGCAATTCAGATCGGCCGTCGCGAACGTGTATTACACTTCTCGCTACACATATGCCTTGCTGCAGGAGGTGTTCTAAATTTGTCTCGGCCACCACATCGCCAACGCTCAAACCACAGCATGTTACGTCGACTAGAACACTGGCTCGGGGAGGAAGCGTCACGCTCTGTTCAGAAATACGGAGTACGTCGACACGCATTCCGTCATCCTGCACGTTGATTGCTCGCTGGGCTGAGAACGTGACGCGGCGCTCTTGCAGATCAATGATAGCTCCATTTTCCTGTAGAAAATCAACTCCCAGAATGACGTCACGGGAGCATTCACGTAGAACAAGGCAGCTTGCTACGAAAGTGTACCCTTGAATCTGTACTCTAGTTGTGCAGGCACCCAGTGGAGTTACGACATGGCCACCAGCTGTCCGAATCTGCGAGTTATGCCACGGCGTGATTACTTTCTTCAGCTGCGTTGTCAGTTTCCCGCTCAGTATGGAATAGTCTGCGCCGGTGTCCACTAACGCATTAACTACACAACCATCAATTGTTACTGCTATGTCGAGTGAAAGCCGGCTATCCTTTGCAGCAGCAGGTGATGTCGGACCAGTTTCTGTATTGTTCTGCGTCAATAGGAGGTCTTCAGCGCTTCG